GGATCTCTGGGGTCTTGGGGTGGGATGTGTGGGTCCAGGGGAGGATCTATGGGTCCTGAGGGGCACCCATGGGTGCTGGGGCACCTCGCTGTGGGGCACCTCGCTGTGGGTCACCTCGCTATGGGTCACCTCGCTGTGGGGCACCTCGCTGTGGGTCACCTCGCTATGGGTCACCTCGCTGTGGGGCACCTCGCTGTGGGTCACCTCGCTATGGGTCACCTCGCTGTGGGGCACCTCGCTGTGGGTCACCTCGCTATGGGTCACCTCGCTGTGGGGCAGAGCAAGCTGATCGCGGGGAAGATCATCCCGGCCATCGCCACCACCACGGGGGCGGTTGTGGGGCTGGCCTGCCTGGAGCTCTACAAGCTGGTCCAGGGCCACCGGCGCCTGGGCTCCTACAAGAACGCCTTCCTCAACCTGGCCCTGCCCTTCGTCGGCTTCTCCGAACCCCTCGCCTGCCCCCGCAACAAGGTGTGGGGCTGCCCCATAGCGCCAACGGGGACCCTATAGACACCCCATAGCATCCCTGGGGGCATGGTGGCAACTGGGTGCTGCCCTAGAGGGGGTGGGGTTGGGTTGGGGTTGGGTTCTGGAGGTGGTTTGGAGTCTGGGTGGGGTTGGGGGTCTGCCCCACGGCTCCCTGCCCCATAGATCCCAGCCCCATAGCGCAGTGGGGGACCCTATAGGCGCCCCGTAGCATCCCCGGGGACGTGGTGGCAACTTGGGGGCTGCCCTAGAGGGAGTGGGGTTGGGTTGGGGTTGGGGTCCGGAGGTGGTTTGGGGTCTCAAACCTCTCACCTGCCCCACACCTTGTTGTGGGGCAGCCCCATAGCGCTGCCGGGCACCCTATAGGCGCCCCATAGCATCCCCGGGGACGTGGTGGCAACTTGGGGGCTGCCCTAGAGGGGGTGGGGTTGGGTTGGGGTTGGGGTCTGGAGGTGGTTTGGAGTCTGGGTGGGGTTGGGGGTCTGCCCCACAGCTCCCTGCCCCATAGATCCCAGCCCCATAGCACAGTGGGGAACCCCAGAGATGCCCCACATCACCCCGTAGTCCTTGTGACCACCCCCAGTTAGTGCCTGGCCACAGCTTTGTCCTTATGGGTCCTGCCCCCCTGCCGTGGGTCTGACCCCTTTGCCGTGGGTCTGCCCCCCAAGTACTATGAGGTGGAGTGGACGCTGTGGGACCGGTTCGAGGTCCAGGGGCTGCAGCCCGACGGGAAGGAGATGACCCTGCGCCAGTTCCTCGCCTACTTCAAGGTACTGGGAGGGACTGGTTGGGGGGCGGGGGACACTTGGGGGGCAGTTGGGCCCCACCCAGTGGCCTCTTGTCCCCTAAAAGGACCCCAACCCAACAGGGGGGCACCCCAGGGGAAGGGGGGGGAGATGTGGCCACCACGATGGCTGGTGCCCCTGAGGGCGTGGGGCGCTGTGGGTCGCCGTGGGGCACCCTGGGGAGCCCTGGGCCCCACATGACGTCCCCGTGTCCCCCCCCCGTTGTCCCCCCCAGAAGGAGCACCGGCTGGAGATCACGATGCTGTCCCAGGGCGTCTCCATGCTCTACTCCTTCTTCATGCCGGCCGCCAAGCTCCGCGAGCGCCACGACCAACCGTAGGGCCCGG